TATTGGCGTAGTAATGGCATTCCGATAACACGTGAGACACCATTTCAACTGACCGGCTTGGGTTGTTTTACCAAACCCACGCTGGAACAGAAATTCCCCTCTGCATTGCAGGCTGTCTTCACTTTCTTTGATCATTGGATTTTATGGGCACCCTCTACACTGCACGCGGCTTTTGCTTTCTTTGACCATCAGATTTTATGGCACCCTCTGCAGTGCATGCCGCTTTCGCTTTCTTTGACCATCAGATTTTACGGCACCCTCTGCGGTGCATGCTGCTTTCGCTTTCTTTGATTATCGGGTTTTATGGCACCTTCTGCATAGATTTATGGCCGTTCAGGGGTGACTTTGCAGCCCGGGAGGTATTTGAATGTGGTTTTGAGCTGCACCTTTTTCTCAGTGCAGAATCACCCAAAGTTCATGGTTGGTGGTGCAGAATTAGCTTTGTTTTTTTAAAAAAAATCTATTTCTTTCCCGGCAGCTATCGTCCAAGGAGAAACCTTAGAAGATATATATAACCAATGCAAACTGGTAATCGAAGAGCAGTCTGGCCCTTTCATCTGGATTCCCTCCAAGGAGAAGCTATAAATCCAACACTTCACCTCTAATCATGACGGAAGAGTATTTAGAAGAAAACCTTAATCCTATACTATTTGGAAGCTTTTTTTTTTCCCCCGGGGCGGGATTTTATTTTTTAAGGGGGGAAAAAATCGGGTTGCTTTTACGTTTCTTGCAGTCAATGTGAAATTTTTTCTGAATGTACAACACAAAGTGTTCGAAGCCATGGAGGACATTGGTTTGGTCATAAAGGGTAGAGAGAAAAAATAACCTTAAAAAAAAAAAAGACTTTTGCCATATAAAAAGAAAAACTCTTAACCGTGTGCTCACCATACCCTTTCTCGGGATAGACGTTCAACGGGGGAGACTCACGGTCCCGGAGAGCTGGCCGCCAGCTCGGCCGACGTCCCAGTCCGTATTCTTGGCTTGGCTTGGTACACTTGTTGATTGCTTTAAGAAGAAATCCCCGGGTCTCAGACCTCGATTTTGATCCTGCGATGATCGTCACTGTGGCTCCGATCCGCAACCCTGGAGCTCGAAGTGGACGCCAGCACAGCTCGTCTTTTAACTTTGGTCCTCCGGACGAGAAGCGGAGCGCCTTGCAGGACTGCGTCCAAAAGAAACTGATCCATCTTCCGCTGAACTCTGCAAAAAAAAACCTTGAATGATTTGTTCGGGATGTTGGATCAAGGTCTGGGTTTGGTCTCATGGCACATCCACCTTGAGTTTCATATATCTATGCACATCTTTCTTTGTTTTGTTTTTTTTCCTGTGACCAATCTGGAGCATTCCCCCCCACCCCCGCACTTCAAGCCCACCATTTCATCCAGTTCCTAATGTCAAAGTGGGTTCATTCAATGGGATTTGGTGGGGAGGGAAAATATTTCAAGTCGAAACATGCTCAGACGCAAGTGCAAGAGTTTGCAGTGCTTAAACTTGACCAAGAGGGATACAGTTGGGAAAAAGCTTTACATTTTTTGTTATTGTCTATATTATCATTTATATAAAGAGAGAAGGCACTTAAAGATGGGATAATTTATTAAAGAATCTATATTGATGTATAGGCACTAATTTCTATAGGGGACAAACTATTTTGTGAGAGATTTTGTAAAGATTAAGAAGGTGAACTATTTTTCATCCTTGGCTGGCTATAAAATGCAAAGGAGGATTTTCAAGTTGCACTATCCCATAATATTCCCCATTAGAGTTCCCTATAATCTTATATTCTAAGTTCTAGACTCTGTGGTCATACTCTCCTCCCCCCCCCCATTGGAGTTGATAGAATTCCTATGGGAAGCACTCTTTTTTAAAGAAAAAATCGCCTGAAATAAAATGAATCTTTTAGTTGAAAAGTATAGCCAGGAGCAGACAGGTTAGACAACAAACGTCAGTGGCTTGAATGCACTTTCTGGAGTTTGGGGTTCTGTTAAAATCTGCTTCCATGAGCAGACAGACACCATTTAAAGGTGACGTTCTGCCTCTTCCCCAGTTCTTTAAAAAGCAATGGCAAAGATGCCTGTTCACTGGCAAGCCGCTGACGGGCTTTTCCCCCCACAGTCTACGCAAGCTGTGTAAAGCAGTGCAGGTTGCAGTAACGATTGGTGAATGGATTTGTGTGCATTTGTATCAGGACACACTGAAGTTCAAGGCATAGTTGACTTTTTTTTTTTTAAGATCAGGCCAATGGGATGGCCTCCCAGAAGATTTTTCGTCATGCGACTAAGCCCCAAATAAGATGTGTTCAGATCCATGATTGGATCTAGAGGGAACCTCCATGTTCAGAAGCAGTACACCTCTGAACCCCAGAGCCAGGAGGCCACATCAGAGGAAGGCCTTGGCCTCTCTGAGCCCTGTTGCTGGCCCTCCAGAGGAACCAGCTGGCCCCTGCGTGAGACAGAATGCTGGAATAGATGGGCCCTCACTGGTCTGATCCAGCAGGGCTCTTCTGATGCTCTTATGTTCTTAACATCAGGGGAAGGCCTTGGCCTCTGTGCCATTTGTCGGCCCTCTGCAGCAACTGGTTGGCTGCTGTGTGGAACAGGATGCTGGACCAGGTGGACCGGTGGTCTTATCCTGCAGCGCTTTTCAGATGTTCTTATGTTATGGATTAGGATCTCTTTTGAGATGTTGTAAATGCAGCTATGAAGGGGCCAATTCAACTCAGGGTTGCTCATAGGGTAATGGAGGTCAGTGTTGTTTCCCGACCTAAATGACCCTGCTCTTTCTTCCATGGATCAAAACATTAAGATACGATATGCAGGGCGGGACTTTGCACTGCCAGGGTCCCCAGCTTGGCCGGAAGATGGAAGAGCTCCACCCAGTTCACCTCCATATTTGTTCCTCGACTTCCTTCTGCCCGATGCATTCTGGGAATTGTAGTTCCCAGGAACCCTGTTGTTAATGACACGGAGAGGGGTCCCACTCCAAGGTGACCGTTGGCATTCTCCTTCAAGGAGACCGGAGGGCTGCTTTTAAAGAATGCTGGAGTTCCTAATGATGGATCTCCCAGATTATGTCTAGCCCTAGAAACTAATTTAAGTGACTCAGCCTTAAGGATACCATTCCCCAGGTGGGGGCAAGGGAACCCCTTCTTTTGCGGGGTTCTGCCCACCGCCAGCCAGCTGGCCAGCAGGAGGAAATCCACACCCCCAACACTGTGCACGGTGCGTTGACGTCACCTGGAAGGGATGTCAGCATGTCGGTGACACTGGGGGGCAACGCTCTGCTTTTTGGGCAAAACTCTATGGTTTGAGGCTGTTTCTACCATAGAGTTTTGCCCAAAAAGCAGAACATCACCCCCGACATTGCCCACATGCTGATGTCACTTCCGGGTGACATCGGCGTGTTGCACATCTCGGCCCACCCCAGAAAGCCCCCCAAATCCCCCCACCGGCATGATGAAGGGACCTGGCAGCCCTACTCAGCCCCATGGGAGGCACGCTCTTTACATGCTCAGAGGAGAGTTAAGTGAGCAGTTGGAGTGCTGGCGCTTCAGTCCTCGGAAGCACCCGCTCAAATTAAGCGCTGCCGGAAGGACGAGATGTTCTTATATTTATTTACTCTTTATTTCTTTGCCACTAAGTGTCTCGAGACCAGGGTTTCCCTGTCTACATGGCTGAGAAGGCTACGAAAGATCAGTCTTTCGGGCTTGCCTTCATTTCTGAATTAACTAAGTGGGGGAGGGGAGAGGAAAATGACAACCTGCCTGTCAGTTTGGAGGACTCCATCTTTTTCACCGTTCTCCTTTGGTCACGTGGCTTCCCTTTATGGGTGTTGTTTTAAGAACCGAGATCTCTCGGGTTTCTCCCCACCCAAAAAAATATTCTGAAAGAAAATTTCTGATATTGAAAAATGCCTCAGGCTCTCTTCTAAGAAAACAACCCAGAGATTGTGAATGTGACTGGGGAAATGGTGATTTCCGGAACACAGCGCAGAACTAAGCAGGGCTGCACCCGACGGAGTCCGTTAGAATCAACTCTGTTTAGGATTGCACAGTAAACCCCTCTGATATCAACGTGGGTTTCCATTTGGGGTCCCGATCCAAATAGCCACATGCACCCCAGATTTCCCCATTTCTTTCAAGAGCAGCTCTGAGAAAACCCATTTGTAGGCGAAGGAGCTCCAGAGGGGGACCCCTTGCTGGAATGACCGAATCGGGGCTGAAAATCGCTTTACCGAGACAAACAGAAATAGCCAGGACCTTGGTGAAGAAGCTGTCGGACAGGAAGGGGAGAACCGTGCTAAGAACTTAATGGGTTGATCTCTTATGTAGCACTTTCCGTACACCAAGTGCTTTATGACCTTTGTCCGATTCATCCTCACAGTACCCTTGTGAGGGCAGGTCGTTTATTATCCCCATTTTACAGATGAGAGCAGGGAATACTGAGTCCAAGGCTGGATCTGTGTGTCATTGGATACCGCGCTATGGCTGTCGTCGCACTTCCCGGGTCACCTTGTCCCCCTGGGAAAAGCCAGTTGCGAATGACTTTTGTGGTGCCACAATACCACAGGATCCAATGAGGTGCGGGAGCCACTTGCGGGGACGTGAACTTTCCCCAAGGCTGCCCAGTGCAGGATTTGAACTCATCACCCCCTTTCTTGCTCAGCATTCAGTTCACCATTTGCTGGGCCGTGCTGGGCCGATGAACCAAACGGTCAGTACAAAATAAAGACACACAAAACAGGCATTCTTTTCTTATCACCTTTTTGCCTAATCCAGCCTGCGAGCTACAGACTTACAAAACAAAACGTAATGTCTGGGTTGACTCATCGAACTATTTTCCAAATGAGAAGGGCTAGAAACTCTTGTTTTTTTAAAAAAAAAAATGGGGAAAATAAATAAACGTAGGGAAGGTTAAATCTGGGGCTCTTCCTGCAGAAGCCCACAGGAAAGACCCAAATACCTGAGAAAGACGGAGTGTTTTTTATTTTTATGTCCGCAAAACACTGTTGTCTCAGGTCCGGGTCATGGTACACTTGCCCCGGAGGCCTGACACAAAACCCTTCAGTCTGGTTTTCTGCTTTGTTTTTCGGCTCCCGATCTGTTTGTTTGCTTCTCAGTTCAGCATGCAACCTTTTCCAAGAGATCTCCTACTGGTAAATGTTCTGTTCTGTGCTGCGCTTTCCAGTTTGGCGATACTACTGTGGCTGAGTACAATCAATTTTTCCCCCCATCAATCTTTGGTTACTGTAGTAACAGTCGGGTTTGTTTTTTTTCGGTTGCCCTGTGTGTGCGGGTGCGAGTGTATGTGTTTTTGTGTTTCCAGCTTAGACTTGCTGCTGCACTTTTTTAAAACAGAAAAAAGAGAGAGAGAAAGAAATCTGTATATTTGGGAGCAAAAAAAAACATCACCAAGGGAAGCGATGACGAAACAAATCTAGTTCTCTTTAGGGCTTACATTTCCATTTGTTTCGTGTCTGGATGCTTGCGTAGTTCATGTTTCTCGGCAGCAGAAAGAGGTCTGATGTGGGGGGGGGTGATGTTTCTCAGGTGTTCCGACATTGCGCTGGGCCTCCCCTCACTTGACAAA